AATAATTTTATAATAAAGAGACAAACAGCCAGGAATGAGATAGAGCAGAGAGTGTAAAACAGGGGGTCAGCAGTACTCGACTGAAGACCTCGAGCCATACTTCTCTGCATATTTATATAGAATCACAAGGAAGTACAAAACAAATGATAATGGTGAAATCTTTTACAGATAAGGCCAAGTTCCTCTTTATGTTAATCTCAAGAGGGAGGGATTCATTAGATAAAAACTAAGAACAATGTTGACTCCTAAGGAATGCCCCAGTGTCACAAGGTGACCTTCAGCTTGTATTAAGCCTCCCTCATTTCCCGATACAGCATTTGGTCTACTATTATTAAATTTGATATTCGGCTTCCCTCAGGAACTTCCCCCCAAATTGGTCTGTTTAATTGAAATATGAGGGGTTTAAAAGTTTTGCACGTGAATGAAAGAACTTTGAGCAAATACTTGACCATTGACTTAGTTTTGAGGTCTGTTGAGAGGGATCATCCTAGTGGTTGATTGGTTGGTTTGATTTTTTTAAACTGTTGTAGTGTACCATAGAGTCTGAACCAACCCATAGCTGATCCTTCAGCAGGTTTTCAGAGGCAGTTAATCACATGAGAGGAGATTGCCCATCCTCCCACGGAGCAGCTGATGGCCTCGAGATGCATGCCTTTGAATTACTTCGCAGCTTCTTGCCACTAGGCCACAAACCGAGTCCTCATAAAATTGATGAGAAGCTTTATGTATTGGTTCATGTAGACAGAAGCAAATGATCAGAAATAAACACTTGGAGAACTTAAGTTGTACCTTTGAATACCTTCTCTGCTTCTACGCTTTGTATTTTTGTAGCAACTTTTAAATTATATGTTTGGTTTGGACTGGAGGATTGAACATAAAACCAGATACCAGAAAAGATGTACTTAACTTAAAATGCATCTAGTTTAAGCACATTTCAAGTACTTAACATGCCATATATTAAATGATGTTGTACTGTCAAGTTGAATCTGACTAATAGCTGACACCCAAGTCGGTTGTCAGAGGCAGTAAATCACATGGGAAGAGATTACAGATCTGTCTCCTGTGGAGCAGCTGGTAGAATCAAAGGATAAGCCTTTGGGTTGGCAGCTCAGTTCCTTACCACATTGCCACAAGAGGTCCCTCATACATAAAATCGCTTATTTAAAAAATAATGGTTACCTTTTTAAATTATTATTTTGGATCATATTGGGTTAAATAAAGATATTATTAAATTTAATATCACCTTTTTAAACTGTTTTTAATGTATTTACTGGAACATTTAAAATTATAGCTCTGGTAGCCTATTGTCAAGAAGCAGCACTGCAATTCCAAAGGTGTGCAGTTTGAGACCCCCAGCAGCTTCATGGGAAAAGGATGAGCAGTCTCCTTCCATGCAGTTAACTCCTGAAAACACACTGGAGGGTCAGCTATGGGTCGGTTCTGACTCTATGGTACATAACAACACAGTTTGCAGTTGTAGTTCATTTAATTTTTATGTTGAGTAGTGCTAGTGTGTGCAATCAGTAATACCACATGAATTCTATACTTAAGAGTTTACCAAGAATTGGGCAAGTCTGGCATATCTACATGTGCTGTGTATGTTATTCTTTTAAGACTGAAACTCATCTAATCACAAAGTCATAATTTTTAAAAATTCATTACATGGGTGTGTATTACCCCAACATAAGTATTTTGCCTAAATAACAGAGTGAATCCATAAACCTCCTATGAAAACCTTTCCTCTTAATACAGCTGTTTCTGGAAGTGCGAGTGTGATTTAGAGAGTTCATTAGGTATGCAGAAACAGAAAAATTGTTAAAAATTAGTCAATGTGATACAAGTAATGCAGGTCATAACTCAGTTGAGTCAGGAATTTCTTTTCTGTGAGACAGTGTATACCACATTGATTCTTGGGTAAGAAATTTTTATAAAATTACAGAATAATAACTTGATAAAAGACTTTCAAAATAGTTCTTGGTTCATATATTTCATTGGTGAAGTTTTGGTTTTTGTCCTTGATAACAATGTCATTCAGAAATTGAGTATATTTTTTGATAAATTTTTATTTTTATTTCTTAAGAATCACGTTTCAAAGGCATAAAATGCTTTTCATACCCTACTGTAATTCTTCTCATGGTTGTCAGTAGATGTCATCAATTCAACTACAGTTCATAGTTACTCGATAATCAACAGATCTGAACCTTGCCTACCCTGCATCCTTCTATCTTCTACATACTCCTCACTGTGTCAGTCCATCTTGTTGAGGTTTTCTTCTCTTTGTCTCACCCTTCAACTTTTCCAGCATAATGCTTTTTACAAGGATTGGCCTTTCCTGACAGTTTGCCCAAAGTATATGAGATGGACTTTTAATTTCTCCATCTTTGCCTGTAAGGAACACCTTGATTGCAGTCTCCCCAAAACAAACTTTTGATTCTTTTGGGAGTCCTTGGGTTATTCTAGAGCTCTGGTGGTCTGTCAGTACTCTGCCAACCCTGAGACATGTGATTCGAATCCACCAGCTGCTCTGTGGGAGAAAGATAGTTAGGCTCTTCCCATGTGATTTAAAGCCTCTGAAAAGCCACTGAAGGGTCAGCTATGAGTTGTTTTTGAATTGTGACACACAATAACAATAATAATATGGGGATTCAGTACTCTTCTCCAGCCCCACAACTCAAAGACATTGCTTCTTCTCTAGTCATCCTTATTTATTGTCCAGCTTTCAGAAGTGCAGAAAGTAATTGAAAGGTAATTGATCTGATACACCTTACTCTTTAAATTGACATCCTTGGACTTTGGAGAGGTTCTTGACAGATTGTTCAATGCATCATGTCTTTTGATTTCTTGACTGTTATTCTGAGTGTTGATTGTGGATTCAAATAAAATGAAATTTTTTTGACAACTTCTTTGTTTTCTCCCATCTATCATAATGCCTATTTGTCCAGTGATGAAGAGTTTAATTTTCTTAATATTTAAATATAATCCATTTGAAGGCTTTTATCTTCTGCAGCAAATGCTTCAAGTTTTCTCACTTTCAGAAAGCACAGTTGTGTCATCTTCATACTGCAGGATGCTTTGAGTCTTCCTGTAATTGTGCTGCCACATTCTTCACAAAGTTAGCTTCTCAAATGATTTGCACAGCATACCGATTGAATAGATGTGGAGAAAGAATACAATGCTGATGTGTAGGCTTGCCTGATTTTAAGCTATGCAGTCTTCCGTTGCTCTGTTTGGATAATAGTGTACAGGTTTGTCATAACACAAACAGGATTATCTTAATGTTTATCATTTGTTAGACTCCACACAAATACTTTTGCATAGTTCGTAAAACTAAAATAAACGTTCTTTTGGTATTTTCTCCTTTCAGCCAGAATGCATCTGACTTCAGCGATAATATTGTTGATTGTACAGTCTCTTCTGGTAAAAGCTTGAGTTTTTGAAAGTTCTCTGTAAATGTCCTGTTCTACCTATTTTTTATAAATCTACAGCAAGATTTTACTTGCATGTGATATTAATGACATTGTTCAATACTTTGTTTCAATACATTCTGTTAAATCACCTTTTTGAGAATGACCATAAATACGAATCTCTTCCCATCAGTTGGCTAGGTTCCTGTCTTCCAAATTTCGTGGTACATCTAGGGCTTCATCTGATTGTTGAAACACTTCAGTTGGTATTTAGTCACTTGCTGGCCATTATTACTTGCCATTGCCTTCAGTCTAACTTGAACTTCTTCCTTTGTTACTGTTGGTTCTTGATCATATGCTACTTCCTGAAATGGTAGCGTCAACCAATTCTTTTTGGTACAGTGACTGTATATTCCTACCATTATCTGTTGATAACATTTTACATCATTCAGTATTTTGCCCATTGAATCCTTCAGTATTGCAATGTGAGGCTTGGATTTGTTTTTTAATTCTTTCCTATTACAAAATGGGGAGCGTGTTCTTCCCTTTTTGTTTTCTAAATTGTTTATTGCACATTTTGTTTGAATATTTTGTTTTGTCTTTAGCTGACTTGTGAAGTAGTCTGTTCTTCTCTTCAGTATTTCTTCCTTTCTTTTTTGCCTCTGTGTGTTCTTGTGAGCTTTTCAGAGTCTTCTTCTGACATTCATTTTGGTTTTTTCTTCTTCCCCATGTCTTTACAATGACCTTTTACACTCTTTATGAATGATGTCTTCAGTGTCATCCCTTAGCTGCTTGTTGCTGTGTGCCACTGCGTAGACTATGACTCATAGCAACCGTATGAACAGTAGCTCTGAACCTTGCCCTATCTTGAACCAAATTCACCATCTCTGACACACGTGACCCCATTGTCACAGTCACTGTGTCAGTCTATCTCATCCAGAGTTGTCTTCTCTTTAACTGTCCCTCCACTCTTCTACACTTAGTGTCCTTCTACAAAGACTGGTTCCTCCTGACAGCATGCTGAAAGTACCCAATTGGGAGTTTAGAAATCCTTGCCTCTAAGGAGCAACATGGTTTCACCCTCTCTGGGAAAGACTTATTTGTTCTTTTGGTAGTCAAAGTTCAGTGCCCTTCTCCAGCAACACAACTCAAAGCCATAGACTCCTCTTTTGTCATCCGTACATTTTATCCAGCTCACTGATACGTAATAAGTAATTGAGAATGAGCTCTTCATATAGCATCATTGGGAAGGAGCTGAAAGATAACTTGTAGTCTCTGTAAAGATATCCTCAAATAGGTTTCTAACTCTTCATTTTAAAAAACAAGATACTGATATCAAGGCTATACCCTAAATATGGTAAATACTTCTAAAAATTTTAAAAATATTACTTAAAAAAAATAATAGTATAATTTATCACTTGAAGTTCCAATGTGGTATATTAGTGTTGCTATGTGTGTTGACCATCTCTGGCAGCTAGAAGGTCAAAGTTGGGGTAAGGCGGGAATACTAATTGATACTATAGCATTACTCTTTTTTTTTTTATAGCATTACTCTTATATAAAACTTTCAAATTTATTTTAATATTCATCTTATAGATCCTTCTGCTGAAGAATTGAGAAAGCTGATGATGCTCCATGGAGGCCAGTACCATGTGTATTATTCCAGATCCAAAACAACACACATTATTGCCACAAATCTTCCTAATGCCAAAATTAAAGAATTAAAGGGGGAAAAAGTAATTCGACCAGAGTGGATTGTGGAAAGGTAAGTTTTAATTTTAAAATTGGAACAGTGTAAAAATACTTGCTGTACTCTGAACTCACCCAACCTCAAATTCATTGCCATTAAGTCAGTTTAGGCACATAGTGATTTTCCCTTGGGCTTTTGAGTCTATAATTCTTAACTTGAGGAGACAATCCATCATTCCCCAATAGCAATTAGGTTAGCTGCGCAGTTCTCTCTGCACTGTGCCACCAGAACAACTTGTAACTCTTTAACATTGGTGATTAAGATAGGCTCTAGCATCCTGTTTTAAAAACAGACAAACAAAAAAACAACAAAAACACACAGATGTCAACTAAATTCTGACTTAGAGTAGAACTCTCATAGGGTTTTCCAGGCTGAAATTATCAGGAGAGCAGACATGTTTCTTCTGTTGAGATCACACTGCTGGCCTTTTGATTAGCAGACAATACCACCAGGGCTTCACTCCAATTAAAAATACTTTACTATGGTTCTTATAATCTCATCTATGAGAAATTAGAGGGGCAACTCAAATAAGTCTCTATTTTTTAAAAACTTTATTTCTGTTCCACATTTTTTCTTTCATTCTCTCATGTTGCATCTTTGTTCTTGATCAGAATAGACAGTAATGGTAGGTTATCATTCATATAGACTATCGGTCCTCTTCCATATTTTCTCCATTCACTTAGCTGGATTATGCAGACACCCATCATTGCATCTTACATGGTTGATCACAGATTTTTAAGATCCTAGATGCTGCTCACCACGCTGCGATGTAGAACATATATGTTGTTGTTGAGCCTGACCTGACTCACAGCTGATTATTCCAACAGATTTTCAGTGGCTGTAAATTATTACACAGGAGGAGATTGCCCATCTTTTCCCATGGAGCACTTGGTGGATTTGAACCACCTGCTTTTGCATTGGCAGCACAACACTTTACTCACGACATAATATATTTTGCCATTTGACCAAGTTATCAGTCCTAAGCTTCCCTGTAAAGCAGTCCTATGCAATATTTGAAAAGTATCATGTTTTCACCCTATGTATTTTATTATATATGGATACGTAAGTTTGCATACATTAAAATAGTTACATAGTTACGTATAGAAACTAACTGAAAGGTGGTCAGTTTAAACTGCCTACAATGCTTTCCAGAAGTAGTACTTGGCAGTCTACTTCTGTAAAGACTGTGGGCTTGAAACCTTGTGGGACAATTTTCCTTTGCTCAGTAAGATCGCTATCAGTTGATACTGGCTTGATGCAGAAGTAATTCTTTTACATTGTCCTTTTGGACTTCATTTTCTCATTTTAGAGATTGTTCTCTGTGTACTAGGGTTATGATGGATAAAGGAAATAATTTGTGCAGACTACCTAAAGCTATTTAACCACTGTCAGTCTGTTCTACAGAATTGAGAACATGGCTTTTAAGCTTCAGTGTCTCCTTATAAAGGAATTGTAAAGTTTTCTATATAAGAAGTTAGGATCATTCTAGAATTTAGTTGTTTTGTCACTTAATAGACAATTGTACTAGAACTAAACTTTTTACCTGGAAGTTGTTTGACTTTGGAAAGAAGAGGGGAGATCCTTAGACAGTATGAAAATGGGAAGAGAGGAGGACTCTTGGTTGGTGTGACTTAGTTTGCTTAGAAGTAGGAGTTACCGAGGGAACTCTGGTGGCCTAGTGGCAAGACGCTGCACTGCAATCGCAGAGGTACATGGTTCAAATCCACCAGATGCTCTGCTGGAGAAGGAGGGGGCAATCTCCTCCTGTACTAGTCAGATCTGATTTGACGGTACACATAAAAATAATACAATAAAAATTAAAAAAAGAAAAAAGAAGAAGTAGGAGTTACCACTGTAATTGTTTTCCTTAAAGTAGATTTTGTTTGGTGGTGTATTGAGTGCAATAATGGACTTGATAAAAGGAATTGAGATGGTTACAAGTTTAAAAATGCACATTAAGAAGTTTTACTTTAGCATAGAGTTAGACTTAATCATCCATTTTTAAATAACTGAAAGTGACTTTGGATAACATGATTCTGTGGTTTATCTGCCTCATTTTATATATGAGAAAGAGTATCTAACAGGGTTGACTGGTTTATCCCAAAAACAGGACAGGATTTAGAATGTAAATTTTCTGACCTTTGTTTGGGCCTGCTCTTTGCCCCATCAGACTTGTTAGAGATGAACTGGCCTGTGTAGAAATTCATCATTTGATTATATATCCTAATAAGTTAAATAAATGTCTGGTGTTTATTTATTATTACTTATTATACACATGTGCATACATATACACTGTGTTACCTTCTAGAATTAGTCTTTCTGTTTTTAGTTTGAGCTATTTAAAAAGCAGCTACTATTTCTCGGTGTGTGGGAGTGATTATTTTGCTTTGATTAAAATTCCCTGGTGTCTGTCTATGTACCATTAAGCTTGAATTATTGTAGGCATGATTATAGGGCCGTGACTTCTAAGAGGCAGGGGAATCCTTTAATGAGAAGCCTATGTACATTAATTGAAGGTATGAGATTATTTCACAGAAGCCTTTTGCCTTTTAAATATTTTTTTTTTTAATTTAGGTTGTTTATTTTTCATTTCAATGAACATCTACAGAGATTTTGGGATTCCATTCATTCATTGTTGCACCCTTC